TGGTTTCCCTGGTGGATGATTAGCACCAGGAGATGGACAAAGGAAGTGTAACCCTCTTGACTCTCTTGGACCTGCCAGCATTTTTTGAAACAATTAACCTTGGTATCCTTCAAGGTAGCCTAAGTAAGATGGTGTTAGGAGGCGCTGCTTTGCGATGGTTCTTACGGTTACTTACGAGGGAGGAAACTAGTCTGCCTCCTTTACCATGGCATGCCTGCATACAGCACTTGCTGAGGAGCTTGGACTGGTGGAGATCTTGCATCCCTCCTGTCTGAGGATTGGGCAGGCAGATGGTTTGCCACCAGGTGCGTGGAGTGCTGGAGCTGTTTATCTGCTCTCCTATACACACTTGCCTGGGACAAAGTCCATTAAACTGAGTGGTTTGCTTCTGAGTAAAGCTATATAGAATTGTAGTATTGGTTGTGCTTGGATGTCTGCCACCACCACACAGTTTTGTTCACCTTTAAAGGAAGATGGAGAGAGATCCTTCGATCAAGAAGAAGAGAAGCCAGCTTTATAAATAAGAAAATTGCAAAGCTGGCATTGGCTGATACATAAATTTTAACTAGGGCAAATTTTACCCTTTGCCAGTATCAAGAAACAATATGACATATTCTGTTGAAACTTTTTTTAAGGTTGCGCAAAATTGACATCATCTTTATCTTTGGAAAACCTGAGGTATCTGTTATTTCTTTGGGCTCCAATATATTTGACATATATCGGTTGTCAACTGCATTACTATCTAGAGGATGGAATTTCAATATCTTGCAGTTCCCTCCAAGGTGAGTTTCTTTGTTTGCAGTATTTATATACCACACCATATCTCAGCAGATTCCGGAGTAGAGAACAATAAAAAGCTAAAGCAGATAAAAGACTAAAAACAGGATAACATTAAATCATTTATTTCTGGAGCAAAGCACTTTCAGCAGGCATTGAAAACAACACAATGCTGGTGCCTTCCTGTCCTCCCGGAGTTCCACAGAAAGTTGGCCTCCACGCTGAACACTTTTCCCGGTGGACTCCAGCTGAGCCATGGCTCCATGTGGAACCACAAGGAAAATATTCTCCAGTCACCTAAACTAGTGGACAGTTTGATAAAAGAGAAGGTGCTTTTGCAGGTATTTCATTCAGTTCATGGTGGTGGGAGAATGAACAGGGCTCAAGAACCTGACCTCTGCTGCATGGATAAGTCCAGCATCCTATTTCCCAGAAGGGCCAGCTGGTTTGTGCAGACCTGAGGCAGGCCATGAAGGAAACAGCATCCTTCTGCTCATGCTTCTAGGCAGCAGGTCTTCAGAGGTGTCGGCTCTGATGCTGGAGGTGAGATGCAGGCTTCATGACTATCAGACCTTGTCCAGTATATCTTCCACAAATTTGTCCGTTTTTGGTGATTGTCACCACATCTTGTGCACTGAGTTATGCTTTCTCTTTTTGCTGCTGAAGCATCCAGGAGAAGGCCCTGGGATTATGAAGAGCAGGGGAAAAGCCTTCTCTCTGTCCACTTTCTCTACCCACCAAAAGTAGTGCCTTCCCCAGACTTACCATGCTGTAGTATACACTTTACAACCTACACGGTTATGCAGCAACAGAGGGAAAGGAGGAGAATCATTCATAAATAGATTCTATAAGGCCACACAAAAAGGTAGCAAAAAGTTTCTTTGTGGATTTCATGCTGTCTCATGTGAGTCTTAAAAAGTTTCCTTGAGGAGTGTCTGTTTTCAGATTATTGGGAGTTGCTGCTGGAACAGTGAAATGAACAGAGGTGCAAAAAATCTGAAATGACAATGACAAACCACTCAGAACTTTTCATTACGTTTAAATAAAAAAGTGAGATGCCTTTCTGTATTTCAGAGAGTATGCCAAGGTCAGACTTCTCTCATAGAAATAGACGGTGTGACTGCACTTGGAATACTGTGTACAGATCCAGTCATAACACCTAAAACATTTATTATATTTATTCTACTGTTGGGAAATGTGCAGAAAAGGGCAACTAAAATGATCCAAGAGCTGGAGCAACTCCACTATGAGGAAAGGTTACAGTGTTTAGGAATTCAGCTTAGAAAAGAGGCAAAGAAAGGGAGACACCGTAGAGAGGTACACATTATGCATGGTGTGGAAAAAGTGGGGATACATTTTTCTCCCTCTCTCATAACACTAGAACCCAGAGTATTCCGCAAAGCTGGTCGGTGGGAGATTCAGGACAGTCCAAAGGAAGTACTTCTTCATGGAGTACATGGCTGAGCTGTGGAATTCAGTTTCATGGGATATAGTGAGAGCTACCAATTTGGATGGCTTTAAAGAGGGATTTGGACAACTTCACGGAGGAGGCTGCATCAGTCACCGCTAGTCCTGATAGTGATGTGCTTCTCCAGTATCAGAGGCAGTGCGCCTGGGCACTCCAATTGCTGAGGAACATGGGCAGAAGGGTGCTGTTGCATTCCTCTCCTACTTTCTATGGGCATCTAGTTGGCCACTGTGCGAATGCAGTGCTGGATGAGATGGACTCTTGGACTGACCCAGGATGGCTGTTCTTATGCTCCTAGTAGAGAAAACAGTCCAGTAGCTGAAAGAGCTGATGAATCAGTAATTTTTTGTCCTGGTGTCTTTCTGTGCTGAACAAAAGCAGGGAATAGGAATCCAAAACAGCAGCAGTTGTAGTCATAGACATTAACACCCAGAGCCAATTATATATTTGAAAGTGAGTGCACACTGCATGCTAGCTTGGCGCATACATGGTGAGTGGGAAGGATACTGTTCACATTCCCCAGACATGTTCTAGTGTTTTTATTTATTTATTATTAAAACATTTTTAAATGAAAGTGGTGCATAGAAACCATGTTATTGTGCAGGATGCTGATGTTTTCTTTCCTCTCCTTCCTAGTATTCATTTTTGCATAACACTATTGCACACAAAGCCCGGGGTGGCAGACTTGTTATTGAAAGATATCAAAGAGTGCCTCTTCGAGATCATGAAGGACCCCAAAGCCAAGACCACCGGCTTGGTAAGGTGCCCCTGAGTTTCAAGGGGGGAGCTTGAGTTGAACTTCCAATGGCCGATCTGGATGAATTCGAACAAGTTGAAACTTCATTCCCCTTGAAAAACCGGATTGAACTTTGGAGGTGTGCCTGGGTTAACCCCCACACTTGGAAGCCCAAATGTCAGAAGTGGCAAAGAGCGCAGCTGAGACCGATGTGCTAATTGTGCCTGCTCCTCTCGCGGTCAGGTCTGGCCATGGTGACTCATGACAGGACTGCCTTTGATGCTGTTCAGAAACCTGTTAGTTCAAAGTGTGATAAGGGGCCATTTAAAGGGAGCATGTGACTCGTAGCTCACAAGAGCTATTCCAGCTGCTGGTCTGTGTCCAGGAAGGGCTGATTATGAACTATAAAGCCCTAAATAGCTTGATATCAGGCTATTCGCAGAAGTGTCTTTTCCCATACAAACTTTCCCCATGCTGAGTTCTTCTCTGCTATATCAACATCTGATGTAGATTTGGCGGGAACTAGAAAGACCTCATGGTGGCTGCCCAGAGTTTGGAATGTTCTTCCTAAGGAAGCTTCTATGCTCACAGTCTTCGATCTGCTTGAAACTGATCTTCAGTTGACTAGAGTTGGTCTGCTGAGCTAACTTGTTTTTCTGTGCTGCTCTCTGTGTTGATCTGAATTTCTAATTACAACGGAGTGCTGGGATTTTGTTTTGGTCTGCTTGTATCATCCAGCTTGTGATAATAGTTTTTATGAATGTGATTTTGGTAGCATTTTTTGATGTGAAGGGTGGGTATTTATTTATTTAAAATAAATAAATAAAATTTATACAATTTAAAAAATTGTATAAACGTAGCATACAAGAAATACAAATTTAAAAGCACCCTTTTCTGGAATTATTTTCACATTTGCTGACCTTTCCTTTGCCTTTGTCTGAATTTATAGGGGGCTATCTACGGAATGGCACAAACCATACCTGACAGACACATGATTTCCGAGATTGCGGGAAGTTACTTGGACTGCCTGTACAGCACAGAGATTCCTCCATCGACAGATGCTCACATGAACGGTTCCCCAGGCCGCCACTGATTCTGTAGCAATGTGTACTTCAACTGCTGGGTGGTAGTCTAAAGAATTATAGGGAAGAAGAACAGCACTTGGAAGTGGTTCCTTCTGCGGTTGCAGGGCACATGGCAGCTTGGTCATGATCTCCCTTTTTATAAGAATAGACTCTACTCCCCAATGTTTTCTCAAGCTGCATTTCTCTCTTTTACTATTAATTCTTGTCATATTCCTTCATGGCAGCTCACTGCTGCTGCTAGTCCTCAAAGAAGCAGCCATGTTCATGGCCAGTGCAAGTCCATTCCATCTTCCTTCATACTCAGGTGTTTGAAATCTGTTCATTCCTTATTTTTCTCTTGGCTGACTTTCATGTGTTTTGGTGCTGGACAGTGAGCCGCTGGAAAAGTTTGGATGTTGATACCCTTCCTGGACTTTTGGATAAGAATCGAAAGTGGGGAGGCCACATCACTGTATGGAAATTCGATCCAAATTCTGAATCTGTGTAATGGGAGGAAGGGGAAATAGGAGAAAAAATGGACCTTCTTGTTGCCAGTGTCCACCATGCTGGTGCCTTGCTGCTTTTTCTCTAGAACTTTTACAATGCCACTTGTAGTTCTTTTAAGTCATGCGTCTGTGAGGAGGCCAAGGGTGAAACGGCTCATCTTTATTCTGAAGGTTTTGCTCTAGCTTCAGACATGGCACTCTGACAGCAGGAACAGAACGTTGTTTGTGATTTTGAGGAGTGTCACCTAACAGGCCCAAACTGCTCTGTCTCTGGGTTCTGTAATTTTATTAAGAGCTTTTGTAGAAGTGGGGAGCCAGTAGTAACTTTGAAAATGCAACTATGTGAAAATGTGATTTTATTTTCACACTGAAGTTTTCATATGACCTGCTCTGTGCTTTCTGCTCCGTATTCCATGAGGTGCACTTCAGTTGCCTTAGCGTGAGTGCGCTCTTTCTGGGAAAGCACTTGGGGGCAGAAGATTGCATATAGCCTCCATGGCAAGTCAGTCTCTGGTGCACGGTCCACGCTCAGTGTGTCGTATCACCAGAGCCTGGGATATTTGTAGATAGGACTTAGAGACAGTGATGTGGCCACTTGATGCCTAGTGGAGTGTCCCCAGTGGTTTGCCCAGGGTACTCTGTTTGCTTTGGCAAAGCAGCTGTCATTCTTATGTGAAGTTCATGAGATAACAGGAAAGCAACAGCATCTTGTTTAAAGGATTTAGTTGAAGGGTGGAGGACAGTTTCCAGGCAGCTTTTGAGCCATTTCTGTGTATCCCTACATACTTCACTAACTGATACAAGGGGTGTATTGCTTCCCGTTGTCCATACTTCAGTGAAGAAAGGGTGGTGTTCAATGTACAGAGACAGACTTTTGAAAAGCTCACGCTCTCCTCTTTCCCTCAGCCATAACTACACTGCCCTTGTGGGGACTGAAGTGCTCGGGCTGGAGCAACATTCCCTTTTCACCACTGTGAAGAAAGCCCAGCCCTTTGTAGCTATCTATCCATATAGAATGGAAATATAAATTTAGAATTTAGAAAATAGTTGACTACAGAGCAACTTGAATGCTACCCGCTCATAAATGCCGGTATGTTTTCAAAGATGCATAGGTACAGTTTTCATAGCAGTGCACTGTAGTATTTAAGAAGGGGGAACCACTAATAGTTTCTTGCCCCATGTCTTCATTCATATATCGATGTGTTCAGCAAACCATTTTCATTTGCTTCGTAGAGAGGAATGAAGTTCTTGATAGTATCTGCAAGCTCAGACTAGAGCCTTGCAGTCATATCAGGAAGTCAGCTCCTGCTTACATATTATTTTAAAGAAATTTCAGTAGGATATCATGTCATTAGTGTTTTATTCTGAGTTCATAATCCTTTGTTTTGTCGTCCACCCTGTATACTCTTTCAAGTACAATTTTCTAAGGCAGAAAAAGAAAAAAATAATGTTTTAAATAATGTTGGATGATGTTTCTATGCAAGATTAAATTTTAAAAGGCTGCACTTACTGGTAACTTCTGCATCTTCAGGGCTGAAAGAACAGTTAACTGAGCCATTGGGCATTTTGCTCCTGAGGTATTGTATGCACTTCCAGAAATTTTCAGGTATTATTACAAATGAAGATGTGCTACCTATTTTTCTTTAACCTTGCTCCAAAAATGTAAAATTGAATTAACAGGTAATAATTGTGTTTGGTTTTCATTGGTTCCAAGAGAGAACTTGAAGAACTTCTGTACAGGGCTTAAGGTTTTGCCTAGCTTTTCTTAAAAGCAAACATGTCACTCCAGCATACTTTTAAGTGAGCAGAGGAGAAGCTATGTTTTGATTTGTGTCCAACAATATGAATGTGTACAAGATGATCAGGATCTGTTGGCAGATCCCTGCATGATTTGCAGGACGTTGGCAAGGGTTCCTGGCTCCCAGCTGTTTTCACAATGGGAACAATAAAATGGCTGTTTGCACTGAGGGGCACAATTGTATGCATGTCTAGAAAGGGAAAAAAGCTCCTATGTTCACCAGGCAGCATGGGAGTTGTAGGGCTTTTTTTGTCTATACATGACCTGAAATAAGGCTGCTGAAAGGAAGAAAGGTTTAGGATAAGCAGGAATGAACTTTTTCTGGAAGGACTGTAAACTCAGCTCAGTTGTGGTACTGAAAATAAATTTTGAGGGTACTGAAAATAATTCTTTGAGGGCGGAAGCATTTTGTTCTTTAACCCTAAGAGCGTATTGTTTATACCCGACTCTGGCTGACAGATCTTGTCTTTCTAATATAAAAAAACTCCAAAAGTATCTACTCTCAGAGGAATCCAATAAACAACAGAGATAAGAAGTATATTGCAAGCCAGTTTTTTATATATGACGTTTGCCTGAGTGAGTCACAGGTAGCCTTTGACTGTGCTGATATAATACTGCCTGAATAAAAACTATACAGTAACAACACTGAGATGCTGCATCTTGTCACAAAACAGTTGATGAAAAGTGAAGAATATCATGACTTTTGAGAATGGTGTTGCAGAGCAGTGACTCTGTTTCAGTGTAAAATCAGCATACAAGAAGCAAAGCTGACGGCTATTCATCTTGAGGCTGGATTAAATGTTGCGGCTGGATTAAGATCTCAGTGTGACTTTTGTGGGGGGAACATGCATGGGGAGGAGGATTCAGACCACATGGATGCTTCAGACTAAGGTGTTTGCAACTTGCTCTATGAAGCTGGCCAGGTTGATATCCCGTTCAGATAAGCCAGCACAGTCATGCGTGCTTAAAGTTATGTGAACCTACAAAAGAAGAAAAGGTTGGATTAGTGTAGCTCACACTTATTTATGGAAATACAGAAAGCAAGCATCAGTCCTGAAAAAGTAGAAGGCATTTTTAAGTTCAGCATAAAGTGAGATGCATCTTTTACTACCTTCCCAGCATATACTACCCACCTTATCTGAGGCCAAATTTAATGTTCTTCAAGCCACACACAGCTTTTTTGTCTTATTTGCTTTAGGGTAAGTATACATGCCTCCTATTTGGCTTTGAGAGAGTGGATTTCAGCATTTTATTCTGAATTTTACTCCATTGGAATCAACAGAAATTTATTTTTTATCTAAACCCCCTTCATTAGTGAGTGGAATTGCAAATCAAAAATGGGAATTTAAATTCCAGCTATCCTGGAGTGCCAGCTAATCAGGTCCATGCCTGCTATGTGTGATTTGAGGAACAGCTAGTTTGACCAATGGTCTATGTCACAAGTTTGAGAAATGCATTTAAATTGGATCTTGAAGAATTCTGAAGAAGTGACTGTTTCTGGATCCTAAACTAAAACCACAGAGTTCTGACAAAAAAGGGTTTGCTTTCCATCTAATCAGAGACTTGGAATCTCTTTCAGCTTCAGGAAAAACTCCATTTTCAAGAAGCTGTAAAGGGCTGTGGATGGAGTGGAAGGTAAAAGGGGCAGGGTCCAAATGCCATTATGTTCTCATTGGCAGCTCTTTCTGCAGCCTTAGAAGAGGCACTGTCAACTTGTAGAATGGGGCAGGGACATTGCAAAAGCTAAACTGCAACTGATCAGTGGCTGGGAGTAACGACTGAAGGTCTGATTTGGCCCTGTGCACAAGGTTTGGATCAGGACTGATGTAAACCAAGGGCCAAGTTACAAATTATGCTGGAGTTCAGGTCTCAATGGACCTTGCTTTGCACTGAAGTGTGTCAGTGTCATGCCCCCTCCATTGTTTTTACTGTAGTCCCAGAGTTTCACCATTCGTGGCGGAACTATAAAGCACCTGGGTGGGGAGTTGGAGAAGTTCAGCATTTTCCTCCACCACATTATAATTACACGAACACACCTCCTATGTTCGTCAATGGTAAATCGTTCGCACTGCTGGAACAGAGGCACTGTGAGTAGCAGTGTTATCTTAAGCTGAAGTCTTATGTCCATTGTTGGCTTAGCCATGTAAGACTACTTGGTTTCTGCTTGGCCAGCCACTGTTTCTGCCTTACCTTGTTGTAAACATTAAACCATTCTGGGTGGTGGTCCAGTTTTTCTGCCTGTAGAGCTACTCTGGTCATAAATCCAAAGGCCTGCTCATAAAATGTAAGAGGATTATTTAGGATAACATGCAAGCTTAACTCCCAAACATGACATGCTTCTGTTTAAATACTCAACTACCTGTACCTTTTATCTATACAGGCCAGTTGTTAACAATTAACTACAATGTAAAGATGGATTGCACAATTTGAACTACTCGGGACACATCTCCATCATGCAGCTGTGAAATTTGGTTTCTAATATTCCTTGTGCCAAAAGACCAAGTAGGGCAAGCTTACTATAGAGCACTGGCCGTATTAAGAACAATGCATTGAGAGAGATGGGCCTTCAGTACTTTACAGAGGCTGTTGAAGTTCTTCAAGCTCTGAAGCATCCCTCTACCGCTCAAACAAAGCTTTAAAATATGAGGGGGTGCAATCACATCAATGCCACATCACATTCTCTCTTGCCAGCACTAGCACACAGCCTTGGCTTCTAGGCTGGGATAGCCCTTCCTGTGATGCAGTGAAGCCCTTAAGCAAAGCTACACAGCTGTTGGACATGCTGCGCCCAGTGCCACCCCTACTTGGGCATGAACCCCACTGTGGTGAACCCTACAACTCCCTGAGGGAAAAGTTGACCCAGTCCTTCCCTCTGAGAGGGGGGCACTGCCCCACAGCAGGCGGCATGCACAGCAGGCTATTCCTCAACCTGCTACCCCCTCTTGGCTTCAGACTATGGCTTTAGAATGAGTCTGTGATTTACGAGCTCTGTGCTGATGACGGATGTCTGCTACTAGTGGCTGGAGGAGCTGCTGCAAGCTTCAGCCACATGGACACATCTAAATTAATATCAAGCATTTCAAAAAGGAAAGAACCCTGGGGTGCATGCCCCAGGAGACTCCTTAAAGCGCACACCATGTTTCAGGTGCTTGGGTTTCTCAGTCTTGGCATTAATGGGCCGATACACATGTTGTTAAGGAAGAATCAAGGATTGCTCCTCTCCAGATGAGACCCACACCAAACCAAGCAAGAAGCACTGCAGTGATTTAGTACCCGATTGAAGTCCTTGAAGTGGAATTCTTTGTAAATGGCATCTCTGCCTTCCACTTCGTTCCATCCTACAGCACGGAGGTTTGGCAGCAGCTGTTCTCTTTCTTCTCCACTTAGTCTGTGGGCTTTTCCTGCCTGGGAAAGAAACAGCAACGGGCAGCGGTCACAACGTTTCTGAGGCTGACCTTCAGAACAAAGTACAAGCTACCTTTGCAGAGCCATGCAGAATGCCCATGTTCTGCATGAAGCTAGAAGAGGAAGACCAGTTTCTTTTTTTCTAATTTTAAGGCACGCGTGTTTGTATATTAGGCACTGGCAAAGCAAAAATGTGTAAGCGGCCTCCATGAGGAGAAGCACTACCCGGTTCACACTCTTGCCTTGGCTCTAACTACTGCCATCCACCCATGCAAGTTAACACTATCAAACAAGGGGCATGCAAATATGCTCAGGCAGCCCTCCACCAGAAGCCAGCGTGGGGATATACAGATTTGTGGCTTCATAAGTATGTGCCTTTCAATGGTCAAGTGCAGCTGGTTCTTAGTACTCTATTTAATCAAGTTGTCTGGAGACCTGTGAAGACAGGCTTCCCTAAGCTGATGCCCTCCAGGTGTGCTAGACTCACTCAGCGTAGCCGTTGTGGCCTGCGGATGGCGTTGTGGCCCAAGAGGCGTGGGAAGGGCTGTGTTAAGCCCTTCAGCAGATGACTTGGTCCTTGGCACCGCTACCCACGTTTCTGCCCTGGAACCCCATGAAATACACAGCCTGCTTTTCTGCAGGACATGTCCTGGGGATGCTTGCAACAGGAAAAAAGTAGGAGATAAATGTAATAAATAAAGATGGCACTGGGAACAGCTGTGTATGCATGCATGCATGAATGCATGGCCTGCAATCTATACTGCATGCCTTCCAGTGTCCCTCACGGAGTTCTGTCCTTGGAGCAGTGAATCACTGCAGCCTATTAATGCCGCACTCTGTGTCAGTGGCTTAGGCAAACCACACACAGCAGGACAAGCTGACTTGGAATCTTTAGAAGATAATCTGGAGAGTAGCCTGCCAGCAGCAACGTCCTGCCAGTAAGCATTTTCACTGCCCGATCCAGTTTCTAGCAGACTTTTCTTCTTTTGGGCCTTGCACTTTCACGGAGTGGCTCTTTCTAGGACTTGAATCCTGCAACGCCCATATTCTATTCATTCTGGAAGCCTGTGTTCTTCTCCATGGGGAATCAGTTAAGTAAGAGGCACCCAAGTCTTTATGAATGGGTTGTAAGGAGAATCTGTTTCATATTAACCAGCTTATTCCTAAGTTAATGGTTAAAGGGGATTGCATCACTTCGTTCTGTCCTTTAAGCTTCTTTGGACATGGGGAGGAACAGCGAGTGGCAAATCCGAATGTGCCAGGGGCTCCGACCACTTCCCATACCACAAATACTTCTAGGGCAGACTTCCCAGCCCACTTGAAGAGGAGTTATTGCCCAACAACTCTGGATATATTTTCTGTGATTCTTAATATGCAGCAAGAGGGGCAGGGGGAGGAGAAACAAAAAGAAGGCTCTGTTTTCCAGCACTGAGCCTGATGCTCACTGTAGACGCAGGGCCAGCCCTACCGTTAGGCAGTGCGTTCTGCTAACTGCTGCAAGACAGAGCTACATCTGCCCCCAGACCTGTCCTGTGCACCTAAGTTAGTCCACCGCTCTGAGGCCTTGCAGAGGCGGCTACAATCAATCACTCTTGCTGGAGTATGATTCAACTGCTTGTCTGGACCTCTTTATAGAGAATGGGGGGGGGGTGTGTGGAGCGGCACCATTTCATCTTCCTCCTCCAGCAGCAACATATTTGGGGCTGGATTTGGGTAGAGCGACTTCTGCAAGGAAGTGTTACTAATGGGGAACGACTGGAAGCCAAGTCATGGTTTGCAAATTTTGAATAAAGCCAGGAGAGGAGCCAGGGGTCAGACTAGATGACCAGGGAGACCCCTTCTGACTCGTTCTGTTTCTGCGTTTCTATGTTTCAGTCCTGCCCACCAGCTACATCACTCCTCGGATCACTCTGCTGTCCGACGGTGATTATTATTATTATTATTATTATTATTATTAGAACATCCTGTGCTTGTCACCAGTGCTCCGCGGTCACACGGCCTCCACTCAATTATCTCTGTTCCTTTGCTGAGAACCATAGTAGGTCTTGGCTGAGATGCTCATGTTTACATACATGTATTTGCGGGATGCTTGGCCTGGGCCCATTCTCCCAAACTCTTGGTGTGTTCACTTTTTTGTGGGTGTCACAAGACTTTTTTCCCTTAGTTACTAGACTTTACTGTATGCCACACTGAAGGAGCTTTGCTGCTGGGCTATTTTTCACTAATTAAAACCATTACGGAGTGTTTTATTTTTGCTCTTATGTACTGAAGGCACACAGTGCTATAATACCATCACTTTGTTTTTATGTATTTTTGGATCACTGTGTGATCACTTAAAACATATTTTAAGCAAACAGCTCCACCAAATGGGACAAGCCTGTATTTCCACTTAGGGCAATTCCCTTGCACTTGGACTAGCGGCATTTTGTGAATGGTTGCAAGAACACACTATTAGCTGAGTGGAGGTTCATCAAGATTTATCCAGCTAAGTAACTTGCCATGCTTTAGTCCCACTGTAATTCTTGAGATTTAGTCATAACTTCAATAAAAGTAAACTGTGAGTAGTCTGGATTCAACTGCATGACCTGGTCAACATATCACAACAACTAAGAGCATGTGCTGAACATGGGTTGTCATTGCATGCAAACGCTGTATTATGGCTTAATTCAGTTACTAACCATGAAGAACCCAGAATGCATAACCCAACAACAAACTATGGGTTCTCTTTTTGGGTTGTTCATGGTAACAACCCATAGTTAGTTAAACCATAGCGCAGCGTTCACACATGTGAACCCAGGATTCAACAGCAGCCCCTTCTCAACCTGTTCTGTTATGTATGCCCACGCCATAATTTAGTGCTCTCCTTTAATATTCTACAATCCCAATGACATGGTTCACATGCCTGCCACCACTTTTCTCCTCGCTATAAAGCAAGTGTGTGATTCCAGTATTTATCGTGTTTTTGCTTTTAGGCTTCACACAGAGGTTAGCAGACCGTGCTACAAGCCTGGGATCTCCAAAAGTCACTTAGTTTAAAGCAGTTCTACAGTCCTAACAAGGAGCAGAGCTAGGCCAGAAAGGATACCTCTGTGGCCATGAATGGGACCGATCTGCAGAGCCAGCCCTGCCATTACTGCAGTGTGAAATGAGTGCTGCTGCATGCTTATTCTCTCTCTCTGCCAAGCAGCCTGTCTAGTATCCCCCAGGCTAGCCCACTGCCCTCCAGTATGTTACAGAACCCAACCCAGTGCTGAAGAAAGATGCCACTTCCAGTCCTTTGCCTCAGGCAGCAAAAGTTGTGGGTCAACTGTTGACCGATGATCTCCCACAGTATGTTCAGGGAATCGGCCAAAGGAAACTCTTCCAGCCTTTGTTGCCAATTTTCAGTTGGCCAGTAGAAGCCAAAGCTGCGCGTTTCAGGGAAGTGAAGCCGCACCAGTAAATACTGCTTAGCACAATAAAACTTCAGCCATTGCCCTTTTGGTGAGATCGCTTGATAAGCTTGCTCAAGGTATCTTAGCAACTGGGAGGAGGTGGGGAGAGAAGAGTAACCAGCAGGCTTGGAGACCCAGAGCCAGCCACTTTTCGCCCCTTCCCTCATTGCATTGCTGGAGGGGAAGCAGAACCTAAGTGGAGAGAAAGGACAATGGGATAACCTCTCTCGGAAGAGGAGATGCTTGAACAACTTGAATTCACTGTAGGAGAGGAGCCCCTGCTTTCCAAGCACCGCAGCCTGGAGGAGACTTCCTGTTTATCCTCTAATATGCCTAGGCTGCATCTCAGATCTGAAGGTTTTTCATATTCATTTTAATCCACTATGACGCAAAAGCAAAATGCAGGCTCTGCTCTGGAAAGAGCAGCCTTGGAACTGCTTCACAAGGTTATCTTTGTTTGCTAGATAAGCCGATGATGACTAAATAGTGATAAATCAATTCTTCCTCAGTCATATTGAAAACACTCCCACTGGGAAGAGAGGGAATAAAAACCTGCCCTGCTTTATTAGTTGCCCAAACATTCTGATCACGCAACATGAAAATGCGATTTTAGAGTGGAAAGCTTTAACTTTATTTATTCCCTCTGAAGTGAGTATCAGTCCCTCCTTTCCAGCTACACTAAGAGGAGAACCAGTCATACTAAGGGCATGATCCTGCACATGTTTAGACCAAAAAGCAGCTCTAACAACAGCACTTTCTGGCTGCCTGGGGAGTGCTGGGAACTGCAAGGCACCCTACATCCAGTTCCTGTCATTGGCAGCTGATAAAGTCGGTGTTCTTGAAGGCTGCCAACTTGGTTTTTGCTTCTCAGTTTGTTAAAAGCACCTGACAGAGGTTTCCTGTCTCCACACCAAAGGGCCTCAACTGCTAGATGTATTGTGCCAGAGCGACAAGCAGCAAGAAAGTCAGCAACCACGCATCCAGTGTGTATGCCTGCAGGAGAGACAGGTGTTGAGTGTGGAAGGCCTACCATATGACAGCTCCCTTCTCTGTTGGCCCTGAGAGAGCCAACTGTGCAGGGCACTTGGTCACACAGCGCACCCTGCAGGCAGCTGCCCTGAATGGCAGAAAAAGGTGTTCACACACCAGAAATCACAGCACGAGGAAAACAGCTATTCCATTAAATAGGTGTCTGGCAGCTGTGTCGTTGTCTTACCCCATTTTTTCTTTAAGGAAGGACAAAGAGGGCTGAATCCAGATGTTTATAAGCTATCTACCACCCATGCTAGCACCTTCTTTAAAGTAAGAGAAAACAAAACACCTTTCTTTAACTAACACTTCTGACCATGATTCATAACCTGTTGCTGGGGTGTATGTGTGTGTGTGTTTAATGTTTCACAGCTGATACTTTATGCTCCTTTCCTCTCAACATAGAAAACTAATGTTTCCACATACTTTCCATGTATCCTTAAAAAGAAAGCATGTTTCTCATTACAAGTACTGCAGAAACCACTGAGAATGCCAAATTAACTAGCGTGCCTGTTTTCTAACTTCCAGAACTCCACAACAAAGAACAGATGCACAGAAAACTAATGTGACTTCCTTTACTTGGAAGTTTAAAAGGCACAGTTACTCCCTTTCAGGCTCTGGCTGGGTTCAGCAAAAGGTGTGCTGCCACCCCTCTCTCTAAAAAGCTGCCTGTGATGCCATCATGGAAGCTGTCCTTTGCAAGCCTATCCAAAGGCTACACAAATGGACTCCCTCCAGGAGGTTCAGACAACAGTCCCCATAAGCTCCAGGCAGTCGGTCCAATGGTCAGGGATGATGAGAGTTGTAGTGCAAAACTTCTGGAGGGGGCATGTTGCCCTCATCAGTGTATATTTTGGTTTGAAGAAGCAGCAGGCTGTCCCAAGTCATTGCAATACAACGTTTAAAGTTAGCGAATTGGGTAATCCTATGCACGTTTAGGAAGAAATAAGTCCTACAATTTATGTATTACATTTTTATGCCACCTAGTATCCTGAAGCTCTCTTGCAAGTTACAGCATTTCCCACCCAATGCAGGATCTCCCCCCCCCCCTTTAGACATGCATAGGACTGCAGGGGAAGCGAGCCAAAATGCCCCCCTCCCCTTTTACACCAAAAAAGGGGCGGAAATTGTATAGGAAGTCAACGTATCGTATTCCATAACAGCAAAGGTGCCTGCCGCAGATCTACTGCTGTAGGGGCTACTCCAGACCGGATGCCGTCCAGATGGGTTTGGCGGAAAGCCCTACTGCTGGCTGGGCAGGGTGGAACTGGCCCCGCCAACACACCTGGGCAGCTCCAGGTAAGGGCAGGAACCTAAAAGCGGCCCGCAAAAACATGGAGCGCCCGTTCCAGTCGGGCAACACACGCCCTCGGCCAAAGCAGCCACCCTCCTTTCTCCTTAGCCGGAGACGGAGCTCCTCTTGGGTTAAGGATTAACCCGCGCACCGATCAGCGGAGCACCCTGCCCTCGGCGCCGAGCGCGCTGCCGCCGCTGCTGCTACACCGGGCGGCCCGCTCGCTCGCTCCCGCCGCCCCGGCCAGACACGCTGCCTGCGCCAAGCCCCGCGCTCCGACTCACCATGGTCGTGGCGGCCGCTGAACGAGACCCGGGCCGGGCAGGCGCCGAGCAACTCGCCCCGCTCGCGCCCCGCCTGCGCCTCCGCGCCCCTCACGCGCGGGGCGGTGTCGCGGTCGCGAAAGCCGCGCGGGGCGGGGCGGGGGGCGGTGCTCGCGGTGAACGGCCAACCAGCGCCCTGGGAGGTGGTGCCCCGCCCCGCCCCGCCCCGCCCCCGGAGCGGAGAGGCCGCGCCTCCTTCCAGATGCCCTCCGGCCCCTGGGAGCGAGCCCTGTCGCGCTTGCCTTGGAGCGGAGACGCGCGGGGAGCGAGAGCCGCCAGCCTCTCTGCTTCTGTTGAGGTGGACGCTCTTAATCGCCCAGCGCGGGCCTGGTCGCGAGCTGCCTGGAACTCTTTGGAGAATCTGGAGAAACAAAATAAAATGGCCATGGTGGCTGCAGCTGATGGGAGTTGTAGACGTCACGTCTGGAGGGCACCTGGTTGTGGGAGGCTGGACGGTCTCACACACAAAGGCCCTTCAGGGACCTCCAGTGCTGGTCTGCCACCTTTCGCTGCCCGGGATGGAACAGAAAATGGTCAAAGTGCATCCTCCCTAAAGCCGGAAGGTTGCTTTGGGACATGTGGTAGGAAACCGCCACAAGAGCTTTCCTTTTTTAGAAAATAAATAGGCAGTAATTAAAATTTATTTATTTATTTAGCGGACTTATATGCCGCCCCATTTGCCTAAGCCTCGGGGCGGCTTACAAATAAATAAATATCATTAATACAATAAAATGCAATTGGAGACATCCTGGCCAAAGTTGTTAAAATCAATAAATAAAATCAACAATTAAAATGCCATTTAAATAAAAAGGTCTTGGACTGGTGCCGAAAAGCAAATAATGATGGCACCAGGCGGACCTCTCTGGGGAGAACATTCCATAGGTTGGGCGCCACCGCAGAGAAAGCCCTCCTCCGGGTGCTCACCCTCTTAATGTCCTTCACGGAGGGCTCCCGGAGAAGGGCCTCTGCCGCCGATCTCAAGGGGCGGGAAGGCACATATGGACATAAGTGCTCCTTTAGGTAACCAGGACCCAAGCCGTTAAGGGCTTTATAGGCCATCACCAACACCTTGAATTGGGCCCGGACTTCAGTGGGGAGCCAGTGAAGCTGACAGAGGACTGGAGTTATGTCAGCACAACGCCCAGTCCCCGTCAGCAACCTGGCAGCTCTGCTTTGCACCAATTGAAGTATCTGGACCGTCTTCAAGGGCAGCCCCGCGTAGGGCGCGTTACAGAAGTCTAGTCAGGAAGTTACCAATGCGTGAGTCACTGTCGCCAGGCAGTTGTTCTCCAGGTAGGGGCGCACCTGGTGAATCAGCCAAAGCTGAAAGAAAGCGCTCCTCGCCACTGCTGTTACTTGAGCTTCCAGCAAAAGCTCTGGATCTCTGAAATAGCTACTCTCCGTCTTTTCAGGACTTCAGAGGTAGGTTGCCAAAAGGGTGAACCAGACCAGCTGAAGTCTTGGTAAAGTGGCAGTCAGGTGGTCACTGCCTGGACTGCAAGTCTCATCAAAACCGGTGATCTTTTAAAGCCTGCAGTCCTCTGAGCTACACACACTGACTGACAACTTCTGGCCCTCCAGATTTATGCCTTGCAACTCCCGTCAGCCCTCAGCACTGCCTGTCACCAGTTGCCCACCTGACTGCTGGATGGAAGTTGTGAGTGCATGCTTGGTGTCATGAGCCAGTTGGTCTCCTTGAAGCCAAGGTTCCTCACCTGGAGAACCAAGGAAAGGCGGAGAGGGTGGCTGACGAGATGCTCAGGGACCAAAAGGCAGGATCCTAGGTCCTGAGCGACAGTTCTGCTGCTGTCCCAGGAAGGAGGGTGCCATTCTGAGGAAGGGGAATTGGCCCCGTTCCTTGGAAGGCAGGCCATCGTTCTTCTGCACTGAGGATGTGCTTCCAGGACAGGCAGGGCCTTGTGGAAGTGGGGATTCCGTCACTGAACACATTCTGTCCAGTTATCACCATACTTGAAAAAGGACATATAGGAAAAGTACAGAGAAGGGCAATTAAAATGATGAACAGGTTGGAGCAACTCCCCTATGAGGAATGGCTACAACATCTGAGATGGTTTAAATCAGAAAAGAATGTGAGGCAAAACACAGTCGATGGCTGGGTGATTCGAAAGTATATTGAACTTGGACAAAAAGGCCAAGAGGGACAGACTCCACTTGCTCCAAAATGGAGCCAGTCTGTGGGAGCATCACGTAGGTTTTTGTTATTTTCTGCTTTATGTGCTAAATATAAATCGCCAGCTATGACTACATGGCAATATATGCAAGTGAAAGATTTGTTAGAATGCAGGTTTGGTCAGGCCACTTTTACAGCTTCAGAGTAGCCCGTGTTATTGAAAGTATTGACTGAGGCTGAAAAGCAATATCAGCCTTTATACATGTGTATAAATATTGATTACCAATGAATAAATATGACACTCAGGATCTCAACCAAGAATGGAACAATGAACCGAAGCACCCATTTTGCCTGATCAATGGAAATCTTTATTATTATCTGTTTTGTAGGGAGTATTGGATCTTAGGCTACGCTTCATTCAACAAAAACACATATATTGAGTACACAGGACACCACAACAACTCTTTGATAAATCCTTAATTAAATTGGCTGATAGTTGGTGTAACACTGCTAATGCTCACCGCCTTATGTTTTGGCAATGCCCAATGGCACCTCTCTTTTGTTAGAATGTAACGATTCAGATGAGAGCTGAATGGGGCTGTCAAGGACGTTTTGCATGGCATTCATTCATAGGGTTGCTTTAAGTCAGACGCAACTGGGCAGCATGTGACAACAACAAAATAATTCAGATAAACCTTATGTCGGAAAGTTCTCTAATATTTAAGGAGACACATGTTCTTTTGAATTACTTATGCATTTCTTCTAATGCTGGGAACAATAGATGGCAAAAGAAGAAGGGGACGGCAGAGAATGAGGTGGCTGGATGGAGTCACTGAAGCAGTTGGTGTGAGCTTAAGTGGACTCCGGGGGATGGTGAAGGACAGGAAGGCCTGGAGGAATGTTGTCCGTGGGGTCGCGATGGGTCGGACACGACTTCGCGACTAACAACAACAACAATGCATTTCTTGGACTTTTACACAAGACCAACTTTGGCAGCTAAAAGACTAATATCACAACATGGGAAGGATAAATGGCCACCAGCAATAACACAATGGGTGGAAGTTTTAATGAACCTTTCAATTTTTGAACAAGCTGATTTTAGACAAAATTTACATACAAATAAATATATCGCTATTGGAAGTTTGTTTGCTGAAGTCTATGCATAAGTATTTGTAGTAAAGGTAGCATGTTCTCTCATGTATTAATAATTATGAATATATAATATGCATGTATTTAGTTTTAACCTTTAAAATTTTTATTCAAAGATTTAATGCTTTCGTTTCATCAATGGCTATCAGCTCTGATGGCCGTGTGCTACTTCAGGATCAGAAGAGCTATGCCTGTGTGCACCAGTTCCTGGGGAACACGGGCAGCAGGGAGCTGTTGCTCTCATCCTCTGCTTGAGGGATCCTGTGAGAGGCTGGCTGACCACTTATGGACAGAGAGCTGGGTTCGATGGGCCATTAGTCTGATGCAACATGTCCTTTCTTATGTTCTAGGCCAGTGGTGGCGAACCTATGGCACACGTGCCACAGCGGGCACACAGAGCCCTCTCTGTCGGCATGCGAGCCAAGTCGCCCCAGCACTGCCCTGCAGCCGAGCATCGGAGAACAGCGCACAGAGGGGCCATGTGCATGCTCGGAAAGGAGTAGCGGCGCCGGGCGATGTGGTCAGGAGTCGCGATTCATTAGGCACGACTGGTCTGAGCTTTCACATGGCCAGTCAGTGCGCTCCCAAGGTGGGGGGGGGAGAGAGAGAGAGAGAGAGAGAGAGAGAGAGAGGGAGAGAGAGAGATTTGCTTGGACTGGCTGTGAGTTGTTTTTTTATAACTAAAACCTCAGTTTTCAGGTTTTATTGCAGTGTTGGCACTTTGTGATAAATAAGTGGGTTTTGTATTGCAGTTTGGGCACTCGATCCCTAAAAGGTTCACAATCACTGGATTAGGGTTGGAAAAACAAGGTTTTCTGGTGTGATTTTGAGGGTTGGAATGCGTTTAGAATGGACAGAAATGAGGAGCAGTGCAGAAAAAGCTACTCAAGGAGAGCTTTCTCAAAATTGCCCTCTTTTCAATGGAACGTTCACCCTATATTACAGTTAGGGGTGTGCACCAGGGTAGGGTTAGGGTTAGAAAAACGAGGTGTCCTGGTACGGTTTTGATGGCTGGAATGTGTTTAGAATGGTTAGAAATGATGAGTTGTTCAGAAAAAGCTACTCAAGGAAGGCTTTTTCAAAATCCCCCTCTTCTCAATGGAACTTTCACCCTATATTATGGTTAGGTGTTTCCACCAGGGTTGGGTTACGGCAATGGTAGTGAACCTATGGCCTGCATGTCATGGCGGGCATGCAGAGTCCTCTGTAAGCATGCGAACTGAGTCACCCCAGCATCGCCCCACCAGCCAAGCATCAGGTAACAACGCATGTAAGGGCCATGCGCATGCTTGGAAAGGAGTAGTGGTACCAGACGATGACATCACGAGCCATAACTCATTATCCACGACTCATCTGAGCTTTCGCATGGCCTGTCAGTGCACCACCAAGGAGATAGAGATAGATAGAGAGAGAGAGAGAGAGAGAGAGAGATTTGCTTGGACTGGCTGTGAGTTGTTTTTCTAAAGTAAAACCTTAGTGTTCAGGTTTTATTGCAGTGCTGGCACTTTGCGAACAATAAGTGAGGTTTGGGTTGCAGTTTGCGCACCCGGTCTCTAAAAGTTTGCCATCAGTGTTCTAGGCTGTCTCACTGAACTCAACTGGACTTAAATTGCAGCTTGCACAGTAAGTCAATGTGGTGTCCTTGTGAGAGGGACTTGGGAAATCTGGGTTCAACTCTCCACTTGGCCATGAACATCTGTCCTGTTAAATGGCAGTCTTAGAACCAAACAAACCCTGACCCTGCAGAAGAGGAACGATGTTCAGCAA